CTGCTAAAACCCATATTCTATTCTTCATATGCCTGGATATGTTCCAGTGACCATTAGAACTACATGGAAATCCACAGACCAGGCAGTGATTTGACCTATGGAAAGCCTTTTCTCCCAGCCACAACAATAGCAATAAAACAAAACTTAAAAAAGAAAAACAAAACTGAATAAGCCATGTGAAAACTAGATGAGCAAAGGAACTGAGAGACAAGAAAGGAAAACTGAGCCATGAAATAGAGAGAAAGCATGTCACTGAGAGAGACCAACTTTGACAAATTACTGATTTCTATCATTGGGCAGCGTGGGGCCCACTGGTTCCTGACTTTATTATCATTACTATTATTTAGTATGTTTCCCTATTCTACCCTTAACTTAAACTCTCTTGAATGAGTCTCAGGAAAAGAATTAATTATGAAAATCTATACTAAAGCAGAACACCATAAAAGAGAAAGGAAGAGAGAACTACTGTCCCAACTTCCTTCCTTCCTTTTTTCCTTTCTTTTTCTTTTTCTTCCTTCCTTCCATTCTTCTACCTTTTTCTACCTCTTCCCTCTCTTTGATCTCTATGCACTCACTAATTCACAGTATTAGTAGTAGTAGTAATTACTAGCATTAGTAATTACTAATTAATTGGTTTACTAGGGATTAGTATTAGTACTAATACTAGTGCTAATCAACACTAAAATTAGCACTAATATTAATACTAAGTACTAGTACTGTGTTAGTATTAGCATTAATTATTATCATTAGTAATTACAGCATTAGTATTTTAAAATTAATCTAAATCATGTGTAATCAACTACATATTCTTTTCTAAAATCCTAAACATTATCACACACATTGCACTGAGTTTAAAACTAATCAAAATACTTGACCCAATATCTAACCTGTCTAATATTTCATTACCTATATGTTATCATACTTATCACTTAATGTTTTTTAATATCAAGGATCATATAGACAAACTTATTTTACCATGGGGGAGAATTTAAAAAATTAAAGAAAATTGAAAATAACAATTGAAAGAAGGTGTTTTGGAAGTTCAAAGTCAAAGAGAATTCTAAGCTTTGGAGTCTCTGAGATTGACTATACCACATAATGATACAATTAGTGCACAAGGTCTGTCCAGAAAGTATCCAGCTGTGTAATAAGAAAAATGAGATATTTATGAAAAGGATACAAAATATAAGAAACATTGTACATAGGATGATGACACCTCAGTCCCCTCAAAGCAGGCACCTTGGGATCTCACACAGTTCTAATCATCATCAGCTACGTGGTTGTATTTTCCTGAATCTCCTCAAGGATCTGAAATCTCTTCCCTTTCAAAGGTGATTTTAGTTTTGGGAAAAGTCAGAAGTCACAGGGGACCATATCTGGGCTGTAGGGGGCTGAGTCACCTGGGTGATTTGATGTCTCACCAAAAAAGTCTGCATGAGAATTCATACATGAGAGGTTGTATTGTCACAATGAAGCTGCCAATTTCCAGTGGCCTAAAGCTGCAGCTTTCTAAATCATCCAAATAGTTTCTGTGGAGGAATGTGCAAGCTTAGTGCAAAACGTGGTGCAGATTTATTGCTCTGCTTGCTCACTCATTTTGAATGTGATGGCCACACAGTGTACATGCTCCCTCAATGGCATCTGCCTTCCCCACTGACTGTACAGTGAAGTTGTGAGTTCACACACATGCATTGCAGTCCACTTTCCTTGGCTGCCAGATTACACCAATATTGCCCAAACCATACATTATATTAGCCATGGTTGGAATTTTTCTGGAGAGACATCCTACATAAAGGAGTCAAGGAAAACAACTGATTTTCTGGTTTATTTCTTTGTTTTACTTTATGGTGCAAAATATTATGTATATTGTAACTGTATAATATCTGAATACAAAATACAAAATAAGCAACTGAATGTGCAAGGATAGATTACATGAGACATCAGAACTAGAGACAGATTAGGAAGCTGCTAAAGAACTGGTGATATATCTGCAATAAATAAATTTTTGCATCGGGAGAAAACTCGTAGTCTATAAATTTTTGCACAAAACTACCGAGTGTATGGAAAAAATGTGACTGAAAAATGCCACCCACAATGTAACTTTGTAACCATAACATTAACAGAATAATAGTACTACTACTAAAAATACCACCACAATTTAATATTTTGTGACATTTATTCCAAGAATCATAGTCAATTCTTTGCAGCCTTACACTTAGGATTTAGTGTTTTATTTTTCCTTTGGGGTATAGATCTTAAAGGGGATTGACTTTTAATAAAATACATTATCATCGACATTAAAATCTGATACATATTTTTACTAGTCTTTTTTTTAAGGTAGGAAACATCTTAATGGTTTTCTATACTCACATCTCAGCCAGATATTTTGGTGCAGTGAAAAACATTTTTTAAAACTGTTTAAAGTCACTAAATGCCCACTACAAGCACTGAAGCACAATATATGGTCCATATATTTTCTTGTGTTGTTGTATTGCGAAAATTTCTTTAAAATATGACCAGGCTTTCTCCTGGTTGCTTCAAATCTTAACATGCAGGGGAAAAGCACACAGAAATGAACACAGTTTTTAAAAAACTTATTGATATTACTTCACCATTTGTTAATAACATATTGTAGACACAGGTTCGAGGTGATGCTCATGTGTAGAGATAAATGAAATAAAAAAGCTTGCAACGCTCTCACTAACTCACCATGTACACTCTTTCCACCCCCAGTTTCTATTTTCTTCGTAAGTTAAAAATGATTTCTTTACCTCTTTCCTCTTCACTTTCCTCTCTATGTTTTCCAGTGTTCTTTTCCAGGTAAGATTTCAGGTTCTGAAAGGTTGTACTTCACAATATTTGAGTGTTTCAGGTATATTTGTCTGGATGGAAAAATCAAAATGCTTTCCACCCCACAGAGCATTTGATTGAGAAAAAAAGTGTAAATATTTTTCCTCTTCCAAGGGACATTTTAAAGTTAAAAACTAAATCCTATGTGCGAATATGAAAGTATCTTTTAATAGTTACTTTCACAGAATGGAGAAATGATGATTATGTATAATGTTTCAAAAGTCCTTTTCTACAGGGACTTCCCCAATAACCTCACTTGGAAGTATTCTTCATACCTGTATCATTACCCTCGCTTTTTGTATTTTGTTTAATCAGTTCACCCATTTGATTTACTCATTCCTGGACTACACTGTTCTAGGCAGTGTCTATATGGTTTTACTGGACATTTACTTCACTCAATCTCTACATAGTAATCATTTGTCAAAATAATAAATCTAAAAATTCAAAGCATTAATACAAATGAATCAAATTAAAAGCTGATAATATATGTTCACCATTCAATTGATGATATATGCTCACCATTAGGTTTTTCTTTTTTTTTTTTAAGGAAACTTTCTGGTTATCAATGTTCATCTTGCCAATTTTCAATGCTATGAATGAAAGCAGTAGTAAATCTAATTACAAAACTTACATTTAGCAGATATTACTTCTGCAGAATTGTATTTCTCTTAGAATTATTCTGGCCTACATACTTAAAAGTTAATATTATGTTATACAATATTACACAAAAATAAAATACTTTGTCCATCCTCATATGTGTTGGTTATGAATAAATTATAGTGTGACTTTGAAAGTACTTCCTCCTTAGTTAAATACTAGATTTTTAAAAATCACCCAAGATTAAAAGTTAGCTGGTGAGACATGTAGAGATTTAGATTAACCCATAATCCTCTCATTAGCATACCACCCAGTACCTGTTTTGTGAGAATATATGTGTGTATGTGCAAATGGACTTTCTTTCCTATTTTAACACTGTCTTTGACATTGTTTTAAAAGTTTTTCCTGTCCTAAATGATCTGTGGAAATTGTATGACTAAAGCAACCTAGACTTTTCACTGAGCTTTCACTGAATCTAAGTGAACAAGAAATCATCCAGTACACCAAGTATTCCGGTAACTCTGATGTGACATTTTTCGCTCTGAGCAGGAAATCCACAAAGTGTAGGTTTTAGGGGAAACTTTACCAATCCTACTCCATCACTCTTTCTTGAGAAGACTGAGAAGAACAATCATTAGAACGACATTAAAATGAAATCATCAGAAAACCACTTAAAATTGTCTAGTGTCCTTTCACCCTTATGGTCTTTGCACATCTGAAGAATCACTTGAATATCACTGTCAGAGTGCCAGTGCTGGCCATTGACACCAAGGCATTTGTCAAGTCTATTGTTCAACCTGGACACCAGGTGGAAATCATTTAGGAATAATGTATCTAAATGACTCAAAAAATAAATAAAAGAAAGCAAGGAAGAAGAGATGGAAGAAAAGAAAGGGAAACTCATAAAAGCTAACGTGATTGATTTGGAAAAAAATTAATCATAATTAGTGGGATTGATCAAGGAAGATGTATCTGTAATTGGTCATAGTTTATTAGTCCTAAGTAACAAATTGCATTTAAGGAAAAAGTAAGTGAAGAGGTGGAAATAAAAACACGACGAAGGCATTTTTTAAAAAATTAAGTATCAGTTGTACAGCAAAATAGAACAAGAATCAAAAAGAAGAAAAGTGTGTAATATTATATAGGTTCTTACATTTTAAAGGCTATAATGAAAGTTGTTACAGTTTATTTTATTCAAACCTTACATTATTCTAGAATTCTTACATAAACTTTTCATTCCAGATTGGTTCTTATTAGCATGAAGTCAATTTCTGGCTAGCCTTTCTTCTTCAGTGTCTGCGATGTTAATTGGTAGACAAATTTATGAAATTAAAATACATTTTTAACATTTCCAAAACAAAATATAATCAGAAGGGAAAGTGAACTAGAGATATAAGAACTGATAACATTATCAAATAAATGTAGAAGTAGGGATTAGCACATAGCTAAAGACCAAACCTGCAAGTGATCATTACTCCAAAGCTTTTGGCAAATCAATGTGTTTATGTATATTCTTTGATTTATATAAAATTTGCACAAAATATATGCCTTACCTCATTCTGAAGATCTCGGATCATTTTGCTCTTTCTTTCCACTTCAGTCTTTAAAAAATTAATCTGGAAATGAATAGAAAATCATCTATACACATTCCTTATTTATTTTCATGGCTTTATAAATTTATTTTAAAATTATGGGGCTCTAATATAATCATATTTTATCAACATTGAAAAGGAAAATAGATTAAATTTTCATTAACTGAACTTGTATTTCTCAATTCATACATATATCTGCTGAGTATATACAAATAATCTTTTTCTCATATAATAAAATACTTTAAAAAAATTCAGAATCCAAGCCCACTATGAATGTTATCCTCTTATCTGTTTAAATATCAAAATTTAAAAAATGTGACTCTAACTGTATTTTTTTAAATTAGAATCTAGGGTTGGGCTTAGGAAAATATTAAATATTCATAAAACACTCTCCAGGTCATTTTGACCTATGGCCAAGTTTGAAAGTAGTTACATAGTGATATTCATGAATTCAAAAGTACAGAATGTTATCAATACTGCACCAAAGAAATCATGATATCTCCTATTGAATGCGATAAGGTTGGAAACTGTAAATTTAGACCAGTAATTCAAACTCTAGTTGCATAAGCATAGCACATTATCTACTTGAATACTTTGAAAAAAAAGTCACTAAAGCATACTAGCTACGATTTGAAACTTTATTGTCACTGAGGTTGACTGTAAGAAAACTAATTGTATGACAGTGGATGAAACATTTAATTTCTCCAATTTTCTACTTTTGGCAGTCACATTTAAAAAAGTAAAAGGATATAGGAGAAATTAACTTCACTAATATATTTTATTTAATGCAATATATTCAAATTTTCATTTTGACATGTAATAGACTATTAATGCATTTTTTGCCTCATACCTTCCAAATCCACTGCGTCTTACACTTACAGCACATCTCAGTTTGCACTAGCCATTTTTAATGCTCAGTAGACTCGTGCATCTATTGCTTATGCGTCTAACAACATAGTCTTTTAAAAATTCCTAGAATTCTACAGAAGAGATTGGCAATGTAAATCTTGTCTAGAGATAAATCGAATCAGTAGAAATCAGATAAAGAGTAAAGTTAATTTTCACCATATGGACAGAATTTAAGTTAGTTCAGAAATATTTCAAACACAAAGAAGAGGACAAGAATTAATATATGACCAATAAAATATTTCTGGGCCCAATCCTAATGATAAACACACAAAAATGTTTTGTCCGGTTTTATTCAAACCTTGTAAAGAAAACATTATACATACTCTTAAAGCCCTACCTAATTTCTCTTCTGTCTCCCCAAAGGTAGTGATTGCCCTGAAGTTCATGTGTATTTATCTCGTGCGTGTTTTCCTGCATTTTACTTATTGTGTATAGCATAAAGCTTGACAACACGGGTTAATACCCCCTCTTTCTGGTTGTACAGGTGTTCATTGCTGTTGTTGGTGGGAATCAAGTTCTTCCACAGGATCTCGAGGAGAGCCTTCCAAAGACCCATGCGTGGGAGACTGTTGTGCGGCAAGGTTTATTCAAGTGGAAATCAAAGCTGCCCCCTGCATTTCCAATAACCCATCTCTTTCGTCCCACCCTGAAAAGAGTGCAGTCATGTCCTCATCAAGGCCAAAACAAAAGCCAGTATCCAGAGTTTCTGTTGCATTTTAAAGCTTAGTCTTTCAGAACCCATGCGGCCACATTTTTCTAGGCAAGACAGCTCACAAATAAATAGAGCAAGTATGAGTCACAATCAAGAGAGAAAGAGAGAGAATGAGCTTCTTTGTTGCCCTGGGATTATATTAACTTGGGTTTGGTTTGGACCAAATGCTTTTTCAAAATAACTAATAAATTTTCCATGCTTTCTCTGACTTTCGATGGCTCCACCACCTAGGTAACCCATGGTTCCCCCAGTCTAGCCTGACAGCCCTCTGTGGTCAAGTGCCTCTCCCTGAACCATCTGGATTTCCACTGTGTGTGTTTGTCTCTCCCTACCCCCCTTTCTCTCCCATAATCTTGTACCAAAGAGGGGAAGAGAGAATTGTTAATCCCAGCAGACCAATACTATGGCCCCCTAAGGTATAGAGCTGTAGCTTCTTGACAAAGCAAACAGGCTCATATCCCCCAGTTTGTCAAGGTCATTATCCCCTGTGCTTCCTTTTCTTATTAATAATTAGTTAATCAGCTATGGTAACAGTACCATTCCCTCCAATGGCAATGGAGATCAAAACCAAACAATTTTTGATGGTCAAACTACATATAAAACAAAAGCAGAAGCCCGAGAACTACTGTGTCTATTGTTTGACATAATAATATTCAAGATATGTTTAAACTATGAAGATATTGACAGAAACCTCAAAACAGGAGTCACATTTATTGCCCCTTTGGGTGATACAGTTTTATTTGGTTGATGAAACAAAGGTATCACTGAAAGAACTTGATGTCATTCAAAATTAGATATGTATGCAGAGCAATAGTGTGTGCCCTAGTAAACAGCTTTTACAATCATTTCTACTGTCTCGTGCAGGTCTTAGATTATTGAAAGTGACTGGACTGGCCCTTGTTGGTTTTATTATAATTTGTAAGAAATTCTCAGCAATAACCATCAGGAAACTTTGAATTAAAAAGTTTATAAATTCTAAGTCTTGAAAATTATGTGGCACACCTGGAGTCATACAGTGTGTGGGGGACAAAGGGGTAGCAAAGGGGAAAGGGGGCAAAAAGAAGTTGGGACTGAGGTTTTGGCATTCTTGAGGTTGGGTTAAAGGGCTCACTCTTTATTGGTGTATCTAAATCATGATGGAAACTTAAATTGTAGGAAGATAAAAACGAGTGTCCCCAACAGGCAGTTGTTGATCAGTTATGGAGATCGACCAGAATCTCTAAAACAAAGTATGGGGAAGAGGGAGAAAAGGGGGAGAGATAGCCCCCCAGGCTTCTGTGGCTGGCGGTGTGTTTCGTGAGATAGTCATCTTTGAGAAATGTCTCTTCACAGTGGACACCTCTGCAGTCAAAGCTTAAGTCATTTGCTTGAGTTACTGCTGGAAGTGGAGTTCTTGCAGTGTCACCAGGAAAAGAATTTCCCCAAATCCATATGTGAGAATGGGGTTCCCTGGTAAACTTCATTGATGATATAAAATCAAGGGGGTTCCCTCCTGACTTCCCAATGTCCCATCCCCATCCATCTCACCATGCAAAACCAGGGCTAGAAATAAAATCAATGTCCAAAGATCCTGGGCTATATTAAACTTCAGTCTAGTCTAACATTCAGCTAGCTTAGCACATATTTCTAACTGCAGTCCACTGCTGCACTGAAGTATTCAGGCTTCCTCCTGGAGCCTGCCAGTGGGGTCAGCACAGCCATGGGCCATGCAGCTGCTAGAACCAAATGACCATGGAGAAAACGAGCTCATGCACCATGAGAGCGTGGGTCATTGGGTGAAAAAGACAGAGGTTCTTTGCCCCCTAGGCATTATCTTAGCGTGGGCTTGAATAAAACCAGAAGTTTTTTTCAATTTGGCCAATGAGATTCCCAAGTTTTGCAGGCTTTTGATAAGTCTACCCCCAGGTTGAAGTGAGAGGCCTCTTTTTTAAGTCCCTCCTTCTGAGCCTCCGACAATCCAGCAATCCAATATTATAGGTAGGGAGAAGAAAGCAATTTCCTTCCTTGGCAGAGAAGTACCATAAGCCCCTGGAATGTGAAGCTGTAGCTTCCAGGCTAAGCAAGCAGGCACATGCTCCTCATTTTGTTAAGCTCAATGTGTAGTTCCCTTTGATTCTTTTTCTTTTTTTCTTTTTAAAATATATTTTACTGATTATGTTATTACAATTTTCCCATTTCCAATCCCCGTTTATTCCCCTCTATACTGTGCATCCCCTCTCACCCTCATTCCCCACCTTTAGTTCATATCCATGTGTAATATACATGTTCTTTGGCTTCTACATTTCCTATTCTATTCTTAACCTCTCCTGTCTATTTTCTACCTACCATTTATGCTACTTATTCTCTGTATCTTTATCCCCCAACCCCCTCTGACTTTCCTGCTGATAACCCTCATGTGATCTCCATTTCTGTGATTCTGTTCCTGTTGTAGTTTGCTGTTTGCTTTTGTTTTTATTTTTGTTTTAGGTTCAGATGTTAATAACTGTGAGTTTGCTGTCATTTTACTGTTCATATTTTTTTATCTTCTTTTTCTTAGAAAAGTCCCCTTAACATTTCATATAATGAGGGCCTGGTGATGGTGAACTCCTTTACCTTGACTTTATCTGGGAAGCACTTTATCTGCCTTTCCATTCTAAATGATAGTTTTGCTGGATAGAGTAATCTTAGATGCAGGTCCTTGCCTTTCATGACTTTGAATACTTTTTTCCAGCCCCTTCTTGCCTGTAAGATTTCTTTTGAGAAATCAGCTGACAGTCTTATGGGAACTCCTTTATAGGTAACTGTCTTTTTTTCTCTTGCTGCTTTTAAGATTCTCTCCTTATTTTTAATTTTGGGTAATGTAATTATGATGTGCCTTGGTGTGTGCTTCTTTGGGTCCAACTTCTTTGGGACTCTCTGAGCTTCCTGGACTTCCTGGAAGTCTATTTCCTTTGCTAGATTGGTGAAGTTTTTCTTCATTATTTGTTCAAGTAAGTTTTCAATTTGTTTCTTTTTTCCTCTTCTCCTTCTGGCACCCCTATAATTTGGATGTTAGAACATTTAAAGATGTCCCGGAGGTTCCTAAGTCTCTCCTCATTTTTTGAATTCTTATTTCTTCATTCTCTTCTGGTCGAATGTTTCTTTCTTCCTTCTGGTTCACACCATTGATTAGAGTCCCAGTTTCCTTCCTATCACTGTTGGTTCCCTGTACATTTTCCTTTATTTCAGTTAGCTTTGCCTTCATTTGTCATCTAATTCATGACCAAATTCAACCAATTCTGTGAGCATCCTGATCACCAGTGCTTTGAACTGTGCATCTGGTAGGTTGGCTATCTCTTTGTCGCTTAGTTGTATTTTTTTCTGAAGCTTTGATCTGTTCTTTTATTTGGGCCATTTTTTAATTTTTTTAAACTTAATTTATTTA